TGATTAGGAGGACCAATGAATAAGCTTTCTTAGTTTTTGGATGAGGGAGTGGTAAGAGGAGGAGTGAGAGAAAGAAGATGAATCCAAAAGATAACTGGAGGTGGGTCAGGTGCTCATGCCTGCAATCCCAGTTATATGGGAGGCAGAAACAGGACAATCATGGTTTGAGGCCAGTCCAGGTAAAAACTTAGTGACACCCTATCTCAAAGAACAAACCAATTGTGGTGGTTCATGACTATAATCCCAGCTATGTGGGAAGTATAGTTAAGAGGATCATAGTCTGAGTCTGGCCCAGGCATAAAGAGAGAGCCTAGCTAGCTGGTTGCCGGTGGCTCATGCCTATAATCCTAGCTACTCAGGAGGCAGAGATCAGGAAGATGGCGGTTTGAAGCCAGCCCCAGGAAAATAGTTTGCCAGATGCTATCTCAAAAAAACCCATCATTTAAAACAGGCTGACAGATTTGCTCAAGTGGTAAGAGTGCCTGCCTTGCAAGCATGAATCCCTGCATTCAAACCCCAGTGCCACCAAAAGAGAGAGAGAGAGAGACCCTATGTGAAAAATGACTAACTAAAAAGGTCTGGGGACATGACTCAAGTGGTAGAGCACTTACTAGCTAGCAAACATGAGGCCCTGAGTACAAATCCCAGTACCACCAAAAAAAAAAAAAAAGAAAGAAAATGGAAAGGCAAGGGTTTAGGGTAAGCTGAGGTTGTGTTCTCTAGTTTTGTATTTTTGCAAAGTCAGTGTTCACTCAGGGGCTAGGTGTGTAGGTCAGTATTCAAGCACTTACTAGCTAGCATGCATGAAGCCACGAATACAAATCCTAGTATCACCAAAAGAAAAAAAAAGTAAAGAAAAGAAAGAAAGAAAGAAAATTGAGAAGCAAGGGTTTGGGGTAAGCTGAGGTTGTGTTCTTGCAAAGATTTTGTGTTTTTGCAAAGTTAGTGTTCACTCAGGGGCTCCCAGCCCCTGTGTAGGTCGGTATTAGAGTACTTACTAGTATGCACAAGACCCTGAGTTCCATTTGAAAACTTTTAAAGATTCCTTTTTGCACACAGGTGTAAGAACAATTCTTTAGACTGGCTTTCACCCACCAATATCATGTCATCTACTTTAGATTCATTCACATATGTTTGTGGAGTACCTACCACAACATGCCAGATAATGTAGTAAATACCGGGGATACACGGTGAAGAGGAAACACCTCCTTCCCTCAGAGAGCATATATTCTGGCAAAAGAGACACATGTGGAAAACAGTAAAATGGAGACAATGTACAGGTATTATGGACATACAGAAGAGGAGACTTGACTTAGCTATGGTAGAAGTTGGGAGAGAGGATGTCCTGGAAGGCTTCCCTGAGATAGAGACAGCTGTGACAGGAAGGCAAAGGAGAAGGAAGGTGTGTGGGGTAGGAGAGTTTTAAAGAGGGAAGTAAAAGAACAGATTTGGATTTTTCAAAAAAAAAGTTTTGACAATAGCATGAAGAATAAACTGTAGGAAGACAAGCTTGTGTTACCAGGTGAAAATGATGTCTTGGAAAACTGTGGTATTTATACACAATGGAATTTTACTTAGCCATGAAGAAGAATGAAATCTTATCATTTGCAAGTAAATGGATGGAACTGGAGAACATCATTCTGAGCGAGGTTAGCCAGGCTCAGAAGACCAAAAATCGTATGTTCTCCCTCATATGCAGACTTTAGATCTAGGGCAAATACAGCAATGTTGTTGGACTTGGGTCACTGACAAGGGGAGAGCACATACAGGAGGTATGGGGATAGACAGTAAAACCAAAACATGAAAGCATTTGATGTCCCCACTCCAGAGGAACTAATACAGAAAACTTAGAGCGACAGAGGTCAACACGAGAAGGGGATCAGGAACCAGTGCAAAGATCAGTTAGAGATGAATCAACTTGGGTTGTAACACATTTGTACATGGAAGCTAGGAATCTCTCTGTATAGTTATCTTTAACTCAACTAGCAAAAACGCTTTGTCTTTCTTACTATGCTTATGCCTTCCCTTCAACAAAATTAGAGATAAAGGCAGAACAGGTTCTGCCTGGAAGCGAGGGGGATGGGGGAAAGAGGGTGAGGGCGGAGGGCAGTGGGGAGAAATGACCCAAACAATGTAGGTACATGTGAATAAATGAATAATAAAAAAGAAATGCAACCTTAAAAAAATGATGTCTTAGAAAGGGGAAAGAAATGAGTGCTATGGGAACATAAAGCGAGATACTTAACCTGGTCCTGGAGATGATGGAAAGCCTCCCTGAGGAAGTGACATTTAAAGAGAGACTTGAAGGCTAGTTTAGCCATAGTAAGGAGTATGAGGGGATGAGAAGTCTCTGGCACACTTTGTGTGCTAGTCAAAACTGGTCTTAATTTTACTATTTACTCCTATCCTGGAATTCCTGGTACTTTTCCTTTCTAGCCAAATTGTATCTATCTTCTACAGTTCTCTCAAATCTCACCTTCTCTGATGATGGCCAGATATGACCATTATTGCTTCTAAACTCTTACCCCATGTTTGTCACTTGGCATTTAAAAATCTACTATTTAGTATGGTTACTTAACTTCATCTATCTCCAAACTCCTTATAAGATCTTTGAATGTATAAACTGTTTTCTATTACTTCAGCATCACCCAGGGTGTTTAGCACAGTAATGGACACATACAGTACTAATTGAAGGAGTGAGTGAATGAATGACTAGAGTGTCTACAGGCATCTTTTAGCAATCCACTATTATCTGTGAAGTTCACACAAGGAAAGGGGTCTGCTTTCCCTAAAATTTGTACTACATTCATCCAAAGACCCAAGTTCTGAAACTGACAGCTCCTTCCCAATGGTCACTGCTTTCACTTCACTGCAATCTCCCCACAACCACCACCACCATCTATTGTTTCTCTGTCTTCTGATTGTCAGCCAGAATGAGAAAATGGTCTAGCTGTCCTCAGAGACTTACGCCAGCCTGGACTGCTCTGCAGTGCCATGAAGGGCCAGGACTTTTGTTTACAGCTGGGAGCCTGGTGAGGCAGTAAGCACAGCTGACAGCCCCACTCTGGAGCAAACATCAATCTTCCTCTGTCCTTTTAGCCAAGTTTCACAGACCAGTTCTATTGAAAGCTGACTACACTCGCCTGGGTCCCACTGACGTCCTACCCACAACCCTAGTGTGGGAGGAGCTGGGTGAATCTCAGCTTTGTACCTTCTAGAAACTGTTCTTGCTCTTCTCTGACCCCAATTTCAAATAATTTCATCTCAAACTCAGGGCCTTGAAAGAACATGTCCTCTTAGGTCCCCATGCCCTGAACAGTGCCTCACATCTCCAAACATATCTGCTCACTCCTAGCAGTGTGTAAACATCCTCATTTCTTAATCACTAATGAAAACACAACAGCAAGTAGAACAAACCACTGAAACATGTAGCTTATGGAACTTGACCTTCCAAGTCAAGTAAGGTTCCGTGTTTTTAAATGTGCATGTGTATGTGTGTGCATGTACACACACACATCACCTTTGCTTTAAGATGGCTTTCTCTTCCAAAAGCTACAAATCAAAAAAAAAAAAAGAAAAAAAGATATAAATCAAGTAGGACATGGTACCTTCCAAGAATATCATTAAGGGCCTGTTACATATCTTGCTCCCTATCTCCTCCTTAGCCAACTTTGCCCTTATAGCACTCTCCTAGGGTGACACAACACCCCAGTATATTCCTTTCTTTGTCTCTTGCCCCCAGATTCCCTTTGCCTGTGCTTCTCTGCCTGCAGGCTAACACAGTCTTTGCCAATTAGCTGAGTCTTCTTTCTGTGGGTTTTCAACCTCTCTCCACTCCTAAATGCCTGAGGGATATGAGACATTTCTTTTACTAACAGTGATTCATTACAAGGCTTCTTATGAGGTCTGGTGGAGGGGGACTCTAGGTAGGAGGACATTTTCCATCTAGGAGACCTCATCAGAAGTTTTGGTTGAGAGCATTTTCTTAAGCTGTCAGAATGGTTCAAGTGATAGAGCACCTGTCTAGCAAGCATGAGTCCCTGAGTTCAAACCCCAGCACCACCCCAAAAAAGAGGCCTTTTAAATCTAAAACACCCCCTTCATCAGATTTTTACATGGTTCATCTGTACTAAAGGTTGTGCACTTCACCCAATTCCTTGGTTAATAAGTAGTGTTCTAAAGAGAAATCCATCTTTGTTCTTTTCCCAAGGACCAATGAAGCACTTTAAAAACATTTTTGTCTTTTAAAGCCAAATAGCACATGTTTTTGCTCATATACAGAATCTATGTCTAGAATTACAATAATGACAATAATAATGGGACTTGAATGCAAAATAAACACTGTAGGGGAGTTCAACAGGAAAGGGAGGGGAAATGGAGAGGGTGGGGAGGGTTTGAAGAGAATGTATGGTGAAAGCATAAAGAAACCCACTAAATATTGTTTTCAAAAGGGAGGGAGGGGGATTAAGGGAATACAATATAGGGAGAACTTACTCAAAATACACTGCATGCATATATGGAATTTTCACATGAAACACTCTTGTACTATTTTTTTTTTGCAGTACTAGGGCTTGAACTCAGGGCCTGCACCTTGAGACACTCCACCAGTCCTTTTTGTGATGGGTATTTTTGAGATACGGTCTCAAGGACTATTTACCTGGGCTTGCTTTGAACAGAGATCCTCCTGATCTCTGCATCCTGAGTAGCTAGGATTACAGGCATGAGCCACTGGCACCTGGGTCTTGTACTATTAATAAATTCAAAATTTTAAAAATGTTTTATTATGGAAACATTCAAAGATACACAAAAGTAGGGAAAATAGTTTAATGGACTCCCATATCCCCATAATTAAGCTTCAACAATTTAGATGCAGTACATTTAAGTACTACAGGCTTATCCTTTAAAAAATATGACAGCTGATATTTTCAAAAGCCATAGCTTTTATCATTTCCAGGGTTACGGGGAATGTAAATGGAAACTATAAGCAAAAGCAATCTTACCTCTGGAAAAATGGTTCAAAGCAGCATCTCAAGGCATAGCTTGGAGTACAGATATCAGCAAACACTGGTCAAAGTCAGTCCTCATCTCTGTTGTTGATGTGTAAAATAGATGATAGTACATGATTATTTCAAGTGAAGTTGAGTTGTTCATGAAAGCACACATTTTGCTAAACTGCATGCTAAACTATTAACTCAGGAAGGAAAAAACAGAGGATAATGTGGAAGGTCTGGCATTCCAAGGTCATCCAAGGATTTCACTGATTAGGTTCAGGTTCTCAGTGGTTTTGGTCATTTGAAATAACCTCCTTTGTCAGGGTGGATGGGTCAGTGGGGGTGGGGTTAATTTCTGGAGGACAGAATAGATATACCTGAAAGGATAAAACTTTCCCATGACTATTTACAATTTTTGCTCTGTCCATTAGTCATGGGCTAGCAAACTAAACTGATCCAGACTAATGTGCTGGACCGGTTTTATCAAATTCCCATGTAATGAGGCAAGAATAAACTGAAAAAAAAACCCTTCATTATAGAAATACTATTTTGTTTAGCCTTGAAATATTAGGTTTTGCTTTTAACTTTTACATTAAGTAAACGTTCTTTTAAGAAATATCCAATAAGCTAATCAGAACCAAATTTTTAAAATATCAAATAAACATTAGGACAGGTCAATTTCATCTATTATCCAAAAAGGCATGGGAGGAAAGTGGGGTATCTCCTTTCCCTCCAGAACAGACTGACCACTATGTTCCAGATCTAGGAAGGTTGTTTTAGCCACAAGGTAAGATGAAGAAGGCCAGCACATAATGTTAGGCAGGTTGCACCCTGTATACAACTAAGAGAACATAAGTCCAGGCTGAAATTTCTTTTTCAACTGCTCCAGTGAGGCTGTAGAAGTCCAGAGAGGGGAAAAAGCACTTTTATCATTGTTCCACTAGAGTGGACACATCTCTGCAATTTGCTTGCTCTAGGTAGCCAATGTTTCTAATTACCACAAAGGCACTATATGAGCTAATGATGGACTTAAAAATTAACACAGGGTTCTTGGAGCCATTGGTTATCCAGTGAAGGCTGAGGCCATAAATAGTTTCTGTCTGGCCTTGGGCCTTGGAACCAAACAAACCTAAGCTATCTCTTCCTTTCACTTGAAACAGCATGAAGACAAGGATTTGGTTGTAAATTCAGAAAAATAGCTCACATTTTGGGAGGACTCACTATGAGTGAGGAATCTGCTGAAGCCTTACCCACTAGTGGCAGGGAAGTACTCACATTGAGGGGATAGCATAGCATAATAGGAAAAAACCTTGGCTTTAGAATCAGAGACAAGTCTGAATCATTGCTATGCTGTTTACTTGCTGAGCAACTTGGGGTGAATGTTTAACTTCTCTGGGCTTCAGGGAGGATTTGCTAAGGTAACATTTATAAAGAGGTGGGCATAGTGCTGCCTGGCACATAGAAAGCATTCTTCCTGTCTTTTCTCATTATCTCTCTGATTTCAACCTAGATCTTGAAATTTTACTTAGCAAAGAATAAAGATGAGTCTACTAGACAGAATGCTGAAACAACAGTCAGGAGATGTGGATCCTAGTGCCAGACATACTTGATACAGCACCTTGGGTAAGTTACTCCCCTCTCCAGACTCCATCAATAAAACAGAACACCCCTAGCCCTGACGTTGAAAAGCGCAGAGAAAATCATTTTTCTTGGGTACCTGCCATGAGACATGCATTATACTAGGCCCTTTAACATATCTTGTGTCCTCTAAATCAACATTGTCCAGAATTTTGATTGTGGAAATGTTCTATATCTGCACTACTACAGTTACACTAGTTATAAATAGATATTGAACTCTTGAAACATGGACAATACAATGGAGAAACTGAATTTTTAACTTAAATAGCCATGTCTTCTAGTGGCTACTGTATTGGATAGTGTGGCTCTAAGATTATGAAGCAGAAATATTTGTTCTCATTTAACATATGGTGACACCAGCCGGGCACCAGTGGCTCACGCCTATAATCCTAGCTATTCAGGAAGCAAAGATCGGGAGGATCAAGGTTTAACACCAGCCTGGGCAAATAATTTGCAAGACCTTATCTTGAAAAAACCCATCACAAAGAAAGCTAGTGGAGTGGCTCAAGGTGTAGGTCCTGAGTTCAAACCCCAGTACTACAAATATATATATATATACACATATATATACACACACATATATATGGTGATACCAAAGCTTAGAAAAGTTAGAGAACTTATTAAAAGGCACTTTGATAGTAACTAAACCAGACTCAAAGCGGAGGACCAGAAGGTTTACTAGGATAAGGGGGTCAAATATACCAAGAATTATCCATGGTCCACTACTTACAAGCCATATTACCAAAGGAAAATGATTACAGACCCTAGAACCCACTTTCATCATCTATAAAGAGCTGATAATTGTCATGTAATTTACAGGCCTATAGTTGGTATTAATGGGTATAAAGTAAAACAGAGTATGTGGCCCCTAATAGGGTTTCAACAAGTCTGTTTCCTCAGCACCCTGATTTCTACATCACACACAAAATAGATTCAGATATAAATTTAAAAGGATAACTTCAGAGTAGAGTGAGCATTGGGAAATAAAAAGGCTAGGAGGAGAACACTCATAAGCTATTATGTGCTTCCCTAATAAAGAACGGAGATGGGGAAGGGTATGAAAATTATCAACATATTTCCATTTACTTGATTTATTTTCCTGCTCTCTTCTTGATGCTCCAAACAGGGAGCATCAAGAACATTAGCCAAAGCAGGGAACAAAAAACCTATAATGTATTTTGAGGCTCTGAATGATAAGCTTTTATGGTTGAACAATAGAGAACTGTTAAGGGCTTGGGCTTGAGAGGCAGGTAATGTTGAAATACTGATCCCCATATTTGTTGTGTGCACTGGAAATATAATTTGATACCTCTACACATTGGTTCTTGGCAGTGCCAGAGTCTGAACTCAGGGTTTTGCACTTGCTAGGCAGGTGTTCTACCACTTGAACCACACCTCCAGTCCTTTTGGCTTTAGTTATTTTTCAGGTAGGGTCTTGTGTTTTTTGCCCAGGCTGGCCTGGAAGTGAGTTTCCTACTTAGATTTCCCATGGTAATGGGATCACAGGCATGTACCACTACACTAACCTTTATTTTGTTGAGATGGAATCTTGCAATTTTTTTGCCCAAGCTGGCCTCAAACAATGATCCTCCAGATCTCTACTTCCCAAGGCAGCTGGGATTACAGGGGTAGGCCACTGCACCTGGCCAATTAATTCTTAATTTGTAAAACAGGACTGATAATATGCAGGGTACCTCAATAGAAACACATCATTTATTATTTTGCTTACATTCTGTGGCACCCTCTAGTGGTATGTATAAAAATAAGCACTACATTTCTGCCCTTCAAAGCAGTGGTTCTCAAACTTCAACATGTATGGGCATCACTGGGACAGTTTATAGTATCACAGATTGCCAAATACCACCTCCAGAATCTCTGACTCATTTGGTTTGTGGTGGGACCTAAGAATCTGAATTTCTGACAACTTTCCAGATGATGCTGACGTTTCTGGTCTGTCGGGGAAATACGCTTAAGAACTACTGCTCTACAAACCTCTTACTTGTGTGAACAAGTATATGCAACTGATAACTGAAAGAGAAGATTTTTGTTGTTTGGTTTGATATAGTAGTACCCATCTAATAAGAATTTTGTAAAGAAAAAAAAGAATATGTGACGGATATAGCACAGCATGTAAAATACAGAAAACATGCAAAACACTGAGTATCACTATATAAATCATTTTTCTCAGGGTCATGGGGTTAATAACTTGTGAAATTATGGTTTAAGATTAAGTGTCTGACTCTTAAGGACACAGTAAAATTTGGCAACATCATTACAGAAAACAGGGTATAAACACATATCTGATAAAAATTTCAAGAGGAAAGGAAAATCAGTTTTCAATACAAGGATCCAGCTTTAACCTCTGCTATTTCTTTCTTTCTTTTTTTTTTTTTTTGGTATTGGAGTTTGAACTTAGGTCCTCATGCTTGCTAGGAAGGGGTTCTACAACTTGAGCCAGGCCATCAGTCCTCTGTTATTATCTAACTTTACTGACTGAGTAGATAGTCATCTATATTTCCCATTGGGGGGTACTGTGGGAATTTAACCAAGCAAGAAAGCAAAAAGGGTTAGAATTTTCTTTTCTCCTTTTTTTGGAGAGCTTTACTATGTAGACTAGGCTGGCCACGAACTCACAGTCCTACTGCTTGGCTGGCCACGAACTCACAATCTTACTGCTTCCACTTCCAGAATACTGAGATTACAAGTGTGTAGCATCATGACCTACAAGGATTTTCATCTGTATCAGTGCCAGGGTCATGAGTCTCAGGGAATGAGAAATGCAAAGAAGAGCCCAGTAGTACACACTTACAGATAGTGCCTAACCAAAATCTGTTATGAAATAAATGAAAACATTTTCAAAGCAAAAAAAAATTGCAAGGAAGAAGACATGGAGAAGTGAATTTTTTAAGGAGAAAGGTAGTTAGCAAAAATATTTGGATATTGGGTCCCTGCCTGATGGGGCTATTTACAATAGTTGATTTTACGTTTTTTTAACTAATGAAATAAGGTATACACAATTTCCATACATTGTTTTAAAAGTTCAGCAAATCGGGAAGGGAGGAGAGGGAGAAAAAAATCCCACAATCCCAGGGGCCAAACAGCCAATCCTTTGCTAGGATTTGGCGGCATCTAGTGGTAAAATCAAGAGGTAGAAACTTCACCCAGAGAACTTTCTGGAAAATTAACTGCGTATTTGCGTAAAGAGCACTGCATTTGGAGACCAGGAGAAAAAGGTAAGAGAGCCTCGGGCCTGACAGAAATTTGGAATCTCTAGCGGAGAAGCTTATTCTCATTATAAGGTATTTCCGCCAAAATTGCGAGGAACTAGACCAGAGAAGGGAAAAGCGTCACCCTCATGGGCGCCGCAGTGGAGACGTTTGGAGGGGAGGGGGATATTGGAGGCGGAGAGTGGCGCTGGCAGCGGGGCAGGGTGGGGGATACTGGAGAACTTAAAAGAAGCCGCCCTTTGGAGTAGCTAAAGTAGGAATGCAAGTTACTAGTAGGGGTTTGGCTCTTAACGACGGGAAGCCTGTAGTTTAGAACTGCGTTTTGACTAAGAAAAAACGAGGAAAGGAGGTGTGTTTTAGGGTCTAAAATTAAATCAATAGGGAAGGTCGACATGTCTTAACAAAAGCCGACTGTTTCTGTTATTGCCACCTTGCCTTAATTATCTTCCTTTCCGTTTTACTTTATAAACATACACAAAAGCAAACCACCAATTACACACACACACACGCCTGCGCACACCCACCACCTCCGGCGCCACGCGGGCTGGCGAGCACTCACGCCCAAACCCCCAGGCCACGCGAGCTTGCCCATCACATACGCCCTGACTCTTAACGCAATGCGCCCACGGCACTCACTACCCCCACTGCGCACATCAAAACCTCCATTGCGCCTTTTTCATTCCTGCTCCGAGAGTTGCGCAACAGGCTCGGGGGCGTGGCCCTAGATTTGACCTCGCTCTTCCCCACTCGCGGGAACCTTAGCTCATTTCCGCCTATCCTATTTCCGCAGGCCACGTAGACACTTCCTTTCCTAGTGGGGGGGAAAAAACCCACAAACCCACAATGCCTCCTTGAAGAAGAGGCGGGTGGGGGGGGGACCCTCTGGTCAGGGGAACTCTGGGTCGTGAAAATAGGCCACGTGAACACGCTGCCCTATAGACTTATGACCCAACGGCTGTCGCGCACTTGGAGGGCGGGCCAAGAATCTAAGAGGGCGAGCGTCATTGGCCAGAATACTCACTGAAGGAGGAAGATGATTGGTTCGTTTTAGGCCTTAGCCATGAAGAAGCAAGTTGCTACACCCGCCTTTACTGCGGCGAAGTGTCATTGCTGACGTGAGAATCGTGATCCAATCATTTGGTTATGGAACATTCTAAAACTTAGAGGAGACGGTTATGATTGGCTGAAGGGCATAAGCCCGCCTCCCGGGTGACGTGTCTGCGTATGGATATCAGTTGCCAGAGAAACCTGGCTTTACTATGGCGGTTGGAGGAACGGCAGTGATCACACGTCTGCTGCTGGAAAGAACTGGATTCTCGTTTCAGGTTTCGGGGTGGGGGTGGGGAGAAAGGGTCGATGATTTCCTCTTTTCGTCGTGTATATAGACAGGATTAGCTAGTGGCTTCACAATCAGGCAGAGCTGAATTCCTATTCCTGTTCGCCAACGCCCAGCTTGGGCAAGGCTCCTGTTCTTTCTGTGTCTCGGTTTCCATGTTTGTAGAATGGTGATAATAATAGTACCTACCTCAGAGACGTGTACTCGGGGAAGAATACTGTAGAATAGTGCTTATAAGGCATTTCATACGAAGCCTGTCTCCCAAAGACAAAAGCTGTTGTTAATGGAGACAAATATTCGCATAGCAGAATGAGAAAAATTTATGAATTAAATAAATTCACTCTTACACTTTTTTTTTTGCACATCAGCCTCTTTCCCAGAAGAATTTAAGGATAAAAGGCATATATTAATCTTTGTCGATGAAATACTTTGCTCGCTGAGAATCGCTTCAAAATAGTGGGATTGGAATTTTCCTATATTAAAAAGTTAAAAAAAAAAAAAGGTGGGGGAAATGAAGAATGAGCGAGCTGGAGATGAACCACACGCAATAAGTAGGCCTTGTTTGGATCCTAATTCGAACACACAAATTGTGAAAATGTGTGTAAGATGCATCGGGGAAATTTGAACGCGGATTCGATATTCAATATTTTTTTAAGAAATTAATGCCCGTTTTTTTAGACGTTTATGGTGATTTTGTGGTTATGTCTTCAGATTGTCTTTATTTTGTGAAAATACGTTACAAAAAATGCTTAAGGGTTAATGTAATTTCTGGGGCCGGCTTCAAAATACGTGAATGACTAAGATTTGCTTCAAAATAATTCAAGTGATGGGGGAATTGAGAGGGGTATAAATTAAATTGGGGGCCTAAATTAACAATCATTTAAGCTGGGTGATAGACAGATGGTGTTTCTTGTATTAATCTGTTTCCCTTGGTATGTGTTTGAAATTTTCCATAATACAGAAGTCGTTTATTCGGTGAGCTTAAAAAAGTCGGGGAGGGGGGGCAGTGGGTGGGGTTACAGATGAAACAAGATGGCCTTCAGTTGGTAATTGTTGAGGCTGGATGATGGAATCCTGTGGGTTTGTAATACTATTTTTTCACATTTTTATCTATTTGAAATTATCCTTAATAAAAATTAATTTTTTAAAAAAATAGGTGAATACAAATTTGAAAATACAACCACGAGAAAGGAAAAAAAAAACACATATATTACTTACCAGCTTTTGATGTCCTTCGTGTGTGATAAAATTATATTAAACGATGGAAAAGAAAACCATCTCATGTTTTTATGTCCTTTCCTGTCCCTTTGTTTGACCTTCTAGGTCACCATCAGAAAAGCTAAGTTTGCTATACAGTAAGGATCAGGAGATCTGATCCTGATTGCAGAGCCACCCCTGATTGCAGAATCCTGGGTAAGTGACTTCTCCTGGCCTCAGTTCTCAAGCAAAATAAAACCACCTGACCTTTCCAAAATATCCAGGAATATTTTGAGGATTAATAAGCTCCTATCTTAGAAAGTAGTCTTAATTCTGAGACGGGAAGGAATGGAGCTAAATCCATTGCTGATACCAGTATATAAAGTGGATAAGCAACATAGGGCTGTATGATCTCACATACCTTAATAAAACGTACTAAAATCAGTGCCCTGTAGTAGTCCCATAGATTCAAACAGCATATTGTTTTTCTTTGGGACATCCCATATACATCATAATTTGGTGGTTGAGAGGAAATACTGACTTAACTGAATGTAAATCCTGACTTTGTGATTCTGGGCATGACACTTACATTGTACTTAAGTTTCCTCCTATAAGTGTTCACTTTAATAATAATTATGGTTTTATTCTGACACATCTTATTTTACACATGTGCACTTACACTTTAGAAGCAGCAGATACCTCTTTTTGCAATTGTTCAAAAATTAATATTGTTGATTTCTCTCATTTTCCAGAAGCAGCAGTAACTACTAGAACTGAATTCTGAAATTAAGACTTCTGGCTTATCCTAACAATCTAGAAAGGTTTTAAGTATATGTATGAGGGACTTTATAGGAGCTATAATTTTAATTAGCATATCACTTCATATTCAGTCTGCTAACAATTTTTAATATCATCCCTCTTTTGTTCAAATTAAAAAAATCTGTTAAATGTTCCAAGATCCAAAAGAAAAAATTTATGTAAATGTAACTGACCTGGTATATATGCATTTAAAAATTTGCCCCAACAAACTGTGGGAGTTGTTAATCACACTTATTTGTGACACATGCATACACAAAAGATAGTAGCATTTGGAGTCTGATTGGGTGACCTGAAGTAGAGAAAACCTCAAAGAGGAAAAGGATCTTCACCTAGACCCCCGAGGATGGGCAGAACTTAGAAAGAAACCGGTCTAAATTGAATAGTATGCCTGTAATGCGTACAGTATGTAGTGGTGATTAACTGAAAAATTAGGTTATATGTGATATCCGTTTATAAAGACAGATCAGAAAGTCACTAAATGTTAAATCCATGTGTATCTTTGAATTTTTATTTTTGGTAGTCCTGGGGGTTGAACTCAGGGCCTCATGCTTGCTGGACAGATACTCTACCACTTGATCCACTTCTCCAGCCCCTAAAAACATTTTTATTAAATTTTATAATCACATAATTGCATGAGTACAATTTTATAAAAATTATAAAGTATTATAGAGCAGGCTCAGTTTTTATTTTCTCACTATCTCCAATTCTTTTACTTTCCCTAGAATTAGTGACTTTTCAGTTTGCTCTATTTTCTTCTAGTTTGCTAAATTACTTGCGTGTTTAAAAATGTATATGAATATACATAAAATACTGTTTTGTGTTTTTCTTTGTACAAATATGTCATTATAGGTATTGTTTTGCAACTGCTTGTTTTTATTTAACAAATTGTCTTGAATACCTTTGTGCCCATTCATAGAGTTCTAGTTTTCTTTCACAATGACATTCCTTTAACATTATTATGTTCCATATTATGGATATGCCACATTTTATTTTGCCAAATCACTATTGATAGCCTTTTAGATTGACTCCAGTGTTTTGCTACTTCAAATACAGCATCAAACATCCTTGGTACCCATTGACAAGTGTTATTCTAGGGCAACATTTATGCCTTTAAACTGATCATTAAACCAATGTGATACTGGTCTGAGAACAATCAGAAATAGCACTGTGACAGAGCATAGAGATAATGATATGTTTAAGAATTAAAGTGATCAGAATCATTGGGAAAACAGCACCTTAAAAAAAAGTACAGCTCTGGGCATTTAGAATGTTATAAAATAGCACTTCAAAACAGTGGAGAAAAATGGACTCAAGATTTTACAAATTGGGGCAAACTATAAAAATACGAAGAAATAATACAGGAAGTCACCTTCACAACATTGGTTTGATGTAACAAAGCCATTTTCCCTAAACATGACACACAACCTAGAGTCACAGAGGAAAAGATTGACAGGATTGTCTGTGATACTGAGATAAACTTATACATGTAGTGAGAAAAATAAACAATTACAAGTCAAAACCATAGTATTTAATTAGTAAAAATTGATGAAAAGTGGCAAACAACCCAGTAGAAAAGGAAATGAAAGTACTCATTGGGAAAAAATACACGGCCAACAACTGTACAAAAAAGATGTTCAATATCGCAAGTTCAAATGAAGATGTCTTATTACATGTTAGACTGGCAAAAATAAAATGTTTTTTTTTCCAAGAAGATGTTTGGGGCTTGGGTTATAGCTCAGTGATAGAGTGCAATAATGAGATGTTTGTAATGTAAATGTTCACTAATGCAAGGCTAGAAAATTTATGCTACATAAGAGAAAGGATGAGGTGTGAATATTTACAAAATGGTATGGTACTGACATCTAAAAGTGCCTGTGATAAGTGAGGAAAGGTGCAGAGCAGTATGTATCTCACTGTTGTCAAATAAGTAAATGAAAGTTATGTATTCACATGCATGTATATATAACATACACATTGAGTTAAAGTCAGTTTTTATGTGAATGTGCACATTAGAAGAATTGAGGGTATTTTGTGTGTGTGTGTGTGTATCTATCTATATACACACACACAAGTATGTATTTTCCAGAGGGTACTCCAGTGGTTGAGAGGGGCGGTGATAGAGTCTACCTCACAAAAACCTCAACATCACACACTAAAAGAACACTCAAAGAGCTTCTATAAGTGTTAGAATCACTGAGAACCAACTGAAAGGACAAAAATAAGAATGTGCATATTTTAATGTTAAAACACTAATAAATGAAAACAACAGAAACAACCCACTTTCTTTAGCAAATTCACACATTTCTAAAATATTTTTTAAAGGCTTTATGGTGCTGGGGGTGTGGCTCAGTGGCAGAATGCTTGCCTGGCATACATAGGCCCTGGGTTCAAGCCCTAGCACCACAAAAAAAAAAATGGAAAATTGTCCACTACTGGCCAGAGCATGGGGTGTGACCAACATTTTTATCCATTAGTAGGCTTGTAAATCAGTACACCTTTGGAGGGGGAAGTAATTTGGGAACATTAGTAACCTTAAATAGATTGCTCCTAGTCCATTAGATGTGCTTTGTGAAGTCTTTAAGGAATAACAGGAAATGAGGAAAGAAGTGTTTACATGAAGTGTTATTACAGAAAAAGTGGGAACACAGTATTTCCAGAGGGAATGGCTAAATGTGTGTCCATTTCATGGAGTATCTAGTCACACAGCTCTCAAAACATGCACGTTACAGCCTGAACATGGAATGATTAGTCACAATAACTTTAAAGTGAGGTTTAGGATTTGGTAGTATGCACTTACGTCTTTAAGTGTACATTTATATGGAGATTTAAAGGTAAAAACTGAGCTAAACATACAAGTCTTATTTTCTCCATTTCTGGGAAAGTAGTGACTCTTGGCCCTAGTTTGTGCTCCATTCTTCATACGTTGAGTTATGTCCCCTCTTGATATACTACTGTATATCCTCAAGGAATCTTAAGTGCTGCTGCAAAGGCATAGCAAAGCCCTGTGACAAATTGAAATGAATATTGTAGTTCCATAAGTGAAATGTACTAAACTTTAGGATACTGGCCATTTCATTTGGTATTGGAGATCAGAGAGAAACATGGGCTAGAATAGTTTGGGAAGATTTTAAAGAGATGTGACTTTAATGGTTTAAAAGATAAGAAAGCGTAGAACTTAAAGCTATACTTAAGTGCTTGAGAAGCTGACAAATTCAAAGTAAAAGCTCGAAACAGTGATGTATAATGACAGCTTTTTAAAATTAAGGTTTATCAGTTCCATGGAGCAGTGTTAAGCTGGGAAGGGAGGTATAAAGTGTAATAGTAAAGCTGTACATAAATTTGAATTACAAGTAGGAGCTGAATGTCAAAAGGATGGATATTCCCTCCCTTTTGATAATCTGGTTCATGATTCCTGGGTAGAAGTAGTTGCTTGCTCAAAGGATATTCATATGAAAATGAAATCACAGACAGTTCTTCCCTGGCTTTGTTCACTGACCACAGGAGCCTTGACTAAAATGGTGCAGGTGAGGGCAGGTGGAGTGGCTCAAGTGGTAGAGTGCATAACAAGTGTGGAGCCCTGAGTTCAAACCTTGGTACTGGCAAAAAAATGCTAACAGCCAATGTGGACTCCAAATACCTGTGTTTCTATCTAGCTCTGTTAGTGTTTCACATAGTTGGGAGTCAGGGATGGGAGGTTAGGCTGTCTTTAGGTGATTTAAAAAACTCATCCCTTTCTAGTACCTCTTTACTATATGTGTTCCTTTTTTTTTTTTTTTTGGTGGTGGGATTGGGATTTGAACTCAGGGCCTCATGTTTGCTAGGCAGGCACTGTACCACTTGAGCCACTCCACCAGCCCTGAATTCCTGTTTTGAAGGAAAAAGTAAACATCTTGTCTAGAAGTCCAGTGTGCTATCCCTCGTGCCACAGAGCCAGGTGAAAAAATATAAGCATGACAAGCTTACAACAAATGTCATGACATAACTTGGTATTGTCACCACCATCTGAACCTTCAGAGGATGTCTCTATATCGCTCTCAGCCAGGTTTCTGATTCCTACAGGATCAGTTTCTATTTACATTTCAAAGCTCTCAAGTCTGTGTCACCTTTCATTGTCTGCTCAAAGCTTTGTGCCCTGTCAGTTACAGGACTTTTTTTTTTTTTTGGCTTGGTCATAACTAACTAGCCCCCCTAGGGCTCACATTAACGCATAAGTCTCATAATCAGATCTAAGTCTGATTTTTCCTCCTCAGGAACTTCCCAGATACCTGCCCACATAGTCTATTTTTTTTTGGAGAGGGGGAGAAACTGGGTTTTGCCCTTGCAAAGCAGGTGCCCCATAACTTGAGCCACACCTCCAGTCCAAATAGTCCAGTGATTGGCAGGCTTCTTTGGGCAAAAGTTGTTAACAGAGAAACCTGGCTTAAAGCTAGTCTGTCTCCATCCCTTTCTCAGGTTATCTTGATGTTAATGGGCTCATATTTTATGCATTTATACACAACTGTTTAAAATACAGAAATGAGATCACATGGTTCTAACATAAGAATTTAACCTGTGCTGTCTCTTCCTTCAGAATCCTATTGTATGTGATATTATGTAACCTGCCTATTTACCTAATGACAGATACAAATGATATCTCTGTTTAATTCATTTGAATGTTGTGTACATGGGAACAAACATCTTTTATCCACATTCACATGAGCAAGTATTCCTGTGAGGTACTGTGCTAGCTGTTCAGCCACATCACATTTATGACATTCTTAAAAGAACCTGTGAGGCCTAGGGTTAATTTACCCATATATAAATGAGAAGAGGCTGAGAGTATACATTTTGCTCAAGGTCTCACAACTCATGAGTGACAGGACCTAATTGGAGTAGAAGTCTAACAACAGAACTCTTATATTTTCTTTCATGCTTCTATTGTAAACCATGTTTATAAATTATTTTTTCTTAGATGATTTTGTAAAGGTTCATCTTCATTTCAGATAACTGCTTTCCTTTTTAGGTTGTGTCTCCCATTTCATCCTTCCAGACCACCCCAGAAGATCTGTAAGAGTCCATCTGGGAAATCACTAGGAATTCTTGGAAGGGAAAGAAGGATTGTGTAAGTCAAACAAATTGTCCTCCCTCCTTCATTTTTCACTGTAGATTATCTCTTTCCCTTAAAACTTTCAACTGCTTTGGATTTCAAAATAACATTCTCAATTTTCCTGTGGCTCTCTTGGTATTTTTGTTTCATTTTTTGTTCTTTTTCTCTTCCTTAATTATCTTTCTTCCTAGGTTTCCAGAATCCCATATGTGAAATTCTGCCTCAGTTCTCCCTGAATGATTTCATTGGCTCTCAGTGTCTACTACCAGCTTTATAATCTTAGATCTCCATTTCTGGCTCTGACCTCTCACGTTTGAAAAGTCCAAAACTAAACTTCTGTCCCTTCTAACCAGTTTCCTTTTATAGATACCATCTCATTTAGTGATAACACTAATGACTGAATTGCTTTAGAGTTGTCACTGACTACTCCTCCCTTCCCAGTTTTTTACCTTCTCCAACACAGTCACTGAAAGTGGTGCCATTTCTTTTCTACTCCCAAAATACTTTGTACCTGTATCTATCACTATGCTAACCTGTTGTTTTATAATTGTCACTTCAGATATTTAATCCCTAGTGTCTACCATAATATTTGTTCAGAAGCAGATACACAGTAATGTGTGATGACTAACTGAATAGATTAATGAATGGATCCTCATTTGCTACTGATTAAAGATATTTAAAAATATTTTAATAATCCATTAATTACTCAGACTTGAAGTAGCAGAGCCTTCTTTGATCTTTGACTCCTTCAGTTACTATATTCTTCAATACAAGTCTGTATTCTTCAATTTCTCTACAGTGTCACCACATTAGCTTAGGCTTACCTGGACTTCCATACACCAACTTTACTGTTAATCACTTTGCCTCCAATCAGCTAAATTTGTCTTTATTTCTTTCAATTTGTCATTCCTCCTGTTCCCATGTCTTGAATTTCATATTACCTTTTATACTGTCTATCCCATTTAATTCCTGCTTTCTCTAAAATTCCTATAGTTGGAGTGGCATCAAAAGACTAATTTATGGGCATATTTGATGAGTAGTTGGGTGGGGTAAGAATAGCAGGTGGTAGTGAGGATCAGAGAGGAAGAAGAAGTAGAAAGTCACTTATAGATGATCTTAAGTTAGGATTTGAAATCCAAATTCCAAGAAAGTAAACATGTGTTGTGCTCTGATGGACCTTTATGAAGCATAAAGGTCACTATAGAAAACATTCAAGTAAAATACTTTGTATATTACAGTGGTTGGAATAAAAACAGGGTTGAATGAGTTCCAGAAAGCAGGGATCTCAAACTCGTGGACAACAATCTGCAGAAGAAGACAACTTCAAGAAGCCTACTCGAAGCAACATGCAGAGAAGTAAGATGAGAGGAGCCTCCTCAGGAAAGAAGACAGCTGGTCCACAGCCAAAGAATCTTGAACCAGCTTTGCCAGGAAGATGGGGAGGTCGCTCTGCAGAGAATCCCCCTTCTGTATCTGTGAGGAAGACAAGAAAGAACAAACAGAAGACTCCTGGAAACGGAGATGGTGGCAGTACCAGTGAAGTCCCCCAGCCCCCTCGTAAGAAAAGGGCCCGGGCAGACCCCACTGTTGAAAGCGAGGAGGCCTTTAAGAATAGAATGGAAGTTAAAGTGAAGATTCCTGAAGAATTAAAACCATGGCTTGTTGAGGACTGGGACTTAGTTACCAGGCAGAAGCAGCTCTTTCAACTCCCTGCTAAGAAGAATGTAGATGCTATTCTGGAAGAGTATGCAAATTGCAAGAAATCACAGGGAAATGTCGATAATAAGGAATATGCGGTTAATGAAGTTGTGGCAGGAATAAAAGAGTATTTCAATGTGATGTTGGGCACTCAGCTGCTCTACAAATTTGAGAGGCCCCAATATGCTGAGATCCTTTTGGCTCACCCTGATGCCCCAATGTCCCAGGTTTATGGGGCACCACATCTACTGAGATTATTTGTAAGAATCGGAGCAATGTTGGCCTATACACCCCTTGATGAGAAGAGCCTTGCATTATTGTTGGGCTATTTGCATGATTTCCTAAAATACCTGGCAAAGAATTCTGCATCTCTGTTTACTGCCAGTGATTATAAAGTGGCTTCTGCTGAGTATCACCGCAAAGCCCTGTGAGGGTCTACTGACCACTCACTGTTAATGTCTGATATCTGTAAACACTTTATGTTCTTAGTGTTTTCTTGTATAGTTGATGTTCTTTAAAATTGTTAATGTATAACAGGGCTTATGTTTCAGTTTTCTGTTCTGTTTTAAACAGAAAATAAAAGGAGTGCACACTCCTTTCCTCATTTCAAAGTCGCTACCAGTGTATGCAGTAATTAGACAAAGAAGAAACATTCAGTAGAACATTTTATTGCCTAGTTGACAACATTGCTTGAATGCTGGTGGTTCTACCCCTTTGACACTACACAGTTTTCTATGTGTTAATGCTCCGTGATGAAATGCCCTGATTCCTAGTGCCAAAGGTTCAACGTAATGTATATACCTGAAAACCCATGCATTTGTGCTCTTTTTTTTTTTATGGTGCTTGAAGTAAAACAGCCCATCCTCTGCAAATCCATCTATGTTGTTCCTTAGGCATTCTATCTTTGCTCAAATTGTTGAAGGATGGTGGTTTGTTTCATGGTTTTTGTATTTGAGTCTAATGCACGTTCTAACATGATAGAGGCAATGCATTATTGTGTAGCCACGGTTTTCTGGAAAAGTTGATATTTTAGGAATTGTATTTCAGATCTTAAATAAAATTTGTTTCTAAATTTCAAAGCAAGAAATTTTGCATTGTGCCTTTAATGTTATTGAGGCTAACAAGCTCAGCGGGCATAGGACACATCTATATAATATCACAGAAGAGTTCTAACTAGCAAGTGAAAGAAAGTCCTTTATGCAGTTGGTGTAGCAGCCCGGAGTATGCCCTGTTAAGCTTTCTCCCCTCTCCCCCTTCAGTGTGGCTTCTCAAGGTGGATTGCTTACTAGTGCTGCTTGCTTACACCAGCTAGTTTTGTTCATGATGCTCCTTACCCCATGATTCCACCTGGCTTAATGGGACATTTGATAGATACTGTAATAGTCCCTTTTATATAACACAGAGCTTTGCTCTTTCCCACTAGAGGAAACATGGGTATTATATTGATCAGAAACACTTACAGATTTTTGGAAAAATGGCAGACTTCCCTAGTTATAGCACAAGATCCATGATGTTGCCTGATTTTATAATCCCTTGTGTGCAAAGTTAGGAATCCTAGCATTGAGGATCTATGGAGGAGAAGAGATGGTGTTGGATGCCTTTCCCAGTCAAACGAAGTCTTCATGACATTTCATGTTTTTAGCAATAATAGTATTCCATGGTTAATGTAGAAATTTTGGAAAATATAGATAAGAACAACTATAAAAATAAGAATCATGTGTAATCCTGTAGGATCAGTCAGGGTCCCAGCAAAAAATAAATGGTACTCAAAATGGATGATTGAGGAGAGTTTAATAAAAAGAACTTTTCCCAAGTTGTCAGCAGAAGAGAGGTGTGTATTAGTCAGCTTGGGCTGCCACACTGAAGTGTCGAAGACTGAGTGGCTTAAATAACAGGAATTTATTTTCTCACAGTTCTGGAGGCTAGAAGTCAGATAAAGGTGTTGACAAAGTTGGTTTCTTTGAGGCCTCTGGCTTGTACAAGGCTATTTCTTTTTGTCTTCCCATAGTCTTCCTCTATACCTGGCTATGTCCTAATCTCTTATTTACAAGGAAGCAATCATTGGATTAGGGCCCACCCTAGTGACCTCATTTTAATTTAATATCTCTGCAAAGACCCTGTTCTCATATATAGTCACATTCTGAGTTACTAAGGGTTAGCACTTCAACATGAATGTGTGGGGGGGGCGGGCATAATTCAGCCCATCACATAGGTTACTACCCCTTGACAAAGGAGAGTGGGAGAGGGAGTGAGGGGTGGGGGGAGTAGCTGGAGGAGGGAGTGGGGAAGAGGGAGGATTAGTGGAATGGTATACAGCTGTGTAGAAAGGTACTTCTAATAGCAGCTGTGAGCTTCAGGATGGAGTCAGCTCACCATGATCCTGAAAAGAGGTGAGGATAAATATCTGACCTCACTTACTTCTATCTCCTGCTGAGTATTTTCCTTTGGCTAAACTGGAAGCCAGAGTGCAAGGAAGACCTTTGATGTAGTCTATATTGGTAAGCATGGGGTACACAGAGCATGAAGAAGAATGGATGGGGAGACAGGGTACAAATTGGAGCTATCTAGCACATCTGAAATAACCAAAATTGTTATTTTACCACATAAGCATAGAATTATGCATATGCACATGTATTTGTAATAAAGATCACTTTTTTTCTTTTATTCATATGTGCATACAATGTTTGGGTCATTTCTCCCCCCTTCCTGCCTTTGTTTTTTTTTTTTTTTTTACAAAATTGGGATCAGATTCTATATATAGTTCATTTAAGTATTTCCCCCCAAATAGATGTAGAAAGGAAGCTGAAACCTACCTAATAAAGCCAGTTTATATAATGACAGTGAAAATTCTGAAAAAGGAGTCACATAGTAAAATTTGTTATGTTACTCTTTAAAGTAGTTCATTTGCGGTACCAAGATAGATCAGAGGAACAGAATGGAAATGTTTGTGAATGTGTGTATGTATTTCCTTCATACGTTGGAGGGAACACTTCATCAGTAGTGAAAGAGTGTGATAAATACTTGGAGAAAATATTTTTGGGAGGAATGTTAGATACCTTGCATTACACTTTATTACAAAGTACATTCCAAGTGGATTAAAGATTGACATTTCATAAATGAAACCAAAGGTTGCTTTCCAAAGATGAAGGTTTTATAATCTTTACTCAGAAGATAACCTTTCTAAATACTGGCAAGGTGCTGATGGGAAGAACTGGGTAGATTTGAGAACATAAATATTTTAAATAAATTTATAATAAAACAACATGAAGAAAGTTGTTGGCCGGGTGCTGGAGGCTCACCCCTGTAATCCTAGCATCTTGGGAGGCTGAGATAGGGAGGATTGTGGCTTGTGGCTAGCCCGGGCAAATAGTTCATGAGACACATCTCCAAAATAACCAGAGTAAAATGGACAGCAGATGTGGCTCAAGCAGTAGAGTATCTGCTTTGCAACCACAAAGCCCTGAGTTCAAATCCCATCCCACTCCCCTTTTGTTAAACATGTGGCACAAGAACAGGACAGTCATATATAAATGTGTAACATAAATGACAGATACTCTTAAATGTACCTAAAATGTAAAACTTTATTTACTTTTTTTTTTTTTTTTAGTACTGGGGCTTGAACTCAGGACCTACACCTTGAGCCACTCCACCAGCCCTTTTTTGTGATGGGTTTTTTGGAGACAGGGTCTTTCAGTTTGCCCGGGCAGTCTTCGAACCACGATCCTCCTGATCTCTGCCTCCTGAGTATCTAGGATTACAGGCGTGAGCCACAGGTGCCCGGCAAAAGCTTTTTTTCATAAGTTAGACAAAAGAAAAGGTCAGAAATACAAATGGGCTAATTTTAAAAAGTAGTGAATTGTAGTGAAGGGGGTGAATTCATCTATGATGTATTTGATATACTGTAAGAACTTTTGTAAATTACACAGTGTACCCCTATCCAGCACAATAAAAAAAGTGACTTACAAGTAAACATAAAGTAGGTTTATTTACCCTAGACATCAATACTTACAAACTAAAATAGTGAAATATTTCCTACCACTACTGTCATCCCTCCTGGAATGGGTAATAGTAAGTTATTTACCTGGACATGCTTTTTGGTGCCTAGTCAGTCAGCAGCTGTATTGTGACCATCACACCACTGTACAATGAATGATTAGACCCAGCCTGTATTGATTATTCCTCCTCAAATTCTGCTGTTTAAGGAGTAGACAGACAATAGGAATGGGAGAAGTGGCCAGCCAGCATAAAGAATGGTTTGAGGCTGGAGGTGTAGATGGAAAGGGCTTGCCTAGTATGTACAAGGCCTTGGGTCCAATCCCCAGTACTGGAAAAAAATATGAAAAAAAAAAACCAGGAAGGGTTTGTTGGTAATTCCATGCATCTTAACTGATTGCCTAATTATCAGTTCTCTCTAGCTCTGGTGCATAGCACATAGAGGTTGCTCAGATGTGTGTTCAGTGAAGACACTGTATCTTGGTCTTTTTGTCTTACTGAATACTTAAGGTAGTAGATTCCTAGGGTCAAATGGCTTAAATGATACAAGTTCTGTATTTGTGATTGAATGGGGGACCATATGGAGAGGCTTGAAGACCCCTCATCCTCATGTTCTCTGTGGCATCTATAGGGCCTGGCCAACTAGATGAGTTTTTATGAAGGGCTCTGATCTCATTCAGGGGATGGTTAAGAACTAGGTTGTGACACTCATGAAATACCCCAAAAGAAAGAAAAAAAGATTTGTTATTGAAACTTTGAATGGGAAGCCTAACAAACAGATTTTAGCTCACATGCTTAATTAAGCATGTAAGAAATATCATTTTCATGTTGCCTTTATAATATGTAATTTTTTGTTGGTACTGGGATTTGAACTCAGGGCCTCATGCATGCTAGGCAGGCACTCTACCACTTGAGCCACTCTACCGGCCCTGTTTTATGTTGGGTATTTTCGAGATAGGGTCTTGTGAACTATCTGCCTGGGCTGGCTTCAAATGGTGATCTTCCTGATCTCTGCCTCCTGAGTAGCTATGATTACAGGTGTGAGCCACCAGCGCCTGCCTTCATGTTGCCTTTAAATGAACATAAATATTACCTCAATATTCAACTGTAACTTGTTGGTAGGAAATCTACTTCAGTTATTATCAGTGATTCTCCATTTCCATTAGTTGTGCAAATATACTATGTTCTTATCAGGCAATAAAGCCTGAGGAGAACCCTGCTGTCATCTATACTAGTTAAGGATAAGATGCTCATTTTTCTGACCTGGCATATCTTAGGATCTTTTGTCTGTGTTACTTCCATCCAAACCTCTGGGTAGGGGAATCTTTGGCAAGAATAGGTACTCAGCTACCCCAGGCCCACCACAGTCTTTCTCAGGCCCTGATAATGGAGAAATACTCATGTCTATGCTACTGAAAAGACCTACAAACCCTGGCCTCTCTTTGCTTGCTGCCTTCCAGTGCCCTCCATCCAAAGACATCTGGCTTGATTTTATCAACGAGTATACTTACCAACGTAAGAAAAGCCACTAGCTTCAAGCAGCTTCTACTTCCAGCTCTACCACAAACTTCCCTGTCCTGTATCTCTGCTGGAAATAGGATGAGACAAAAGGAGCCCTAAATCATAAATTGAGCCTTAATTTAGTGATTAGAATGCCCAGTATCAAATTACTGAATTGATTTAGAATTAAATATCTGCTCAGCTAGCACCAACTTCATGTGACCTTCTACCTTTGAGGAAAAAAATGTGCTAAGTTTCTCCTTTAGAATATCCTCCTTCTCCAGGTTGCTAATTTTGACTTCAGGGCTGTCTGAGTTTGTAGTGAAGGAAATGAGTAAGGGGGAAAGGGGCTGTAAATTCTTGGCTAGGTTTGCTTCACGTTTATTGGATCTAGTTGATGTTTAAAGCTGGCTCTTATAAGAGGCTCCCCTACTGCAATTCCTGCCTCAACAGCAAAACATTCTATTGCTGCTTCCCCTTCAGCTGTGCATTCCACACAGTTTCTCTGCTGGAATCCATAGCACCCCAAGCAGTTATCTGGCAAGGTTTAATATCAAGCAGCTTGCTCTCCTTCCTTGTCTACTTCTGGT